CACTACTAGTAACAGCAACGTTAGCCTTTTTACTATTATCAATACTAACATAATTTTCATCACCCTCATTAACATTAGTATTGCCAATATCATTACCATAACTATCCTTCTTCTTCTTCTTCTTATTACTATTATTACTGCTACTACTACTACTACTACTACTATCAACATCATCATCTTCATCATCGATGTTAGTCATCTCAACATCATCACTAAAGTAACTGACCACATCATCATCATCATCATCATCATCGTTGTCATCATCATCAGCACCAGTATTAGTAATACTACTAGTAGCAGCAGTAGTGGTAGTAGCAGCAGCAGTAGTAGTAATAGCAGTAGTAGTACTATTACTACAACCGCCAGTATCAATGGCGCTGTTGCTGTGGCTGCTGTGTCCAATGAAGCCAGCTGCAGCCACTAGATCGTCGATAGTTCCGAATCTCTGATTCGATTGGTCGTGATGGATTCTAGTATCAACGTTGTTGTTGTTGTTGTTGAGTTTGTTGTCTATGCTGCTGTTGTTGTTGTTGTTGACGACTATGTTGTCTACATTCGAAACAGAAGCACTACCTCTATCAGTGCTATTAGTAATGTCATAACTGCTGTTGTTGTTGCTGCTGCTGCTATTTATATTGTTATTATTGTTATTATTATTGATGTTATTAATGTCGTCGTCGTCGTTGTTGTTGTTGTTGTAGATCACATCAAACAACTCGCTCTCCTCGGGGACCAGAACAAAATCTCTAATGTTAAGAGGACGAATGACATCATCATTATTCTCGTTACCACCGTCATAAGGTCTCGGCCTAAAGACCAAAGTAGTAGTAAACGGCTGCCTAAACGTCGGCGACCTTGAAGCCGGCGAATCCAGCTGCTGCTGTAGCTGCTGCCGCTGCAGTTGCTGCCGCTGTCTACGCTGCTGCTGCTGCAACTGCAGCATCCGACTGCTGAATCTCCTGTAGCTACGATAGAGTTCTGAATCTTCTGTAGCAGCAGCAGCAGTAGTAGTAGTGCTAGTTGCGGCAGTAGTTGCAGTAGCAGCTGTGGCTGCAGCAGTAGTTGCAGTAGCAGCTGTGATACCATTACCACTGTTAATAGCTGCCTGGCTGAAGATGACGTCATTAATATTATTCGCGGTGATGGTAGTTGTAACAATGCTAGCACGGACGATGATCCTGATGGCAGTACCACCATTATTATTAGTAGTAGTAGCAGTAGTAGTAGGTGTAGTAGTAGTAATAGTAGTGGTAGTTTTGTTGTTTTCATTATTTTGGTTGGCTTGCATAACGCCATTAACAGCAGAAGTAGTGGCCACAGAAGAATTAGTAGTACAATTAGTAGCATTAGTATAAGTAGTAGCAATAGTATTATTAAAAGTAGCAGCAGCAGCAGCAACAGTAGTAGTAGTAGTAGTACTAGAAGTAGCAGTAGTAGCTGTAGTGTGAGTATTCAAATTTACAGTTCTAGTATCATTGCTAGAGCTGTGGTTGTCAGCGTTAAAATTATTAACATTGTACATATTAATATCTCTGCTTCCAGTAGTAGTAGTAGTAGTAGTAGTAGTAGTAGTAGTAGTAGTAGTAGTAGTAGTGGCTGTGGTAATAGTAGTAGTCCTGGCAGTATAGGTAGTAGTTACAGAGGGGGAAGTTCTAGCGTTGGTAGTAGTAGTAGTAGTAGTGGTGTTGTTGTCGTCATCGTCGTCGTCGTCGGTTGCATTGTTTAGATCGACCGTGAATCTTCGGGCCCTGTTTATCAGCAGTTGGCGTGCATGTGGTCTGAGGAGGAAATGGAGAATATTATCATCATCATCATCCTTATTCTCATCATCATCTTGTTCCTCCTCATCATCACCACTATCAACATCACAAACCAAAAAAAAACAAAACCAAATAAAACAAACCTAATATGGCCACCACCATCATCATTATTTCTGCTGGGAGCAGTTGTCGGCCTTAGCCTAGCGTAATCATCACCATCACCAGCACCACCATCGTCGTCGTCGTCATCATTATCATTATCGTCACCAACGGTTTCGGCATTAGGCATTCTCCAGCTAAATCTAGTGGCAGAATCACCACCACTACCCCCACTTCCAACATTATTATTATTATTACTATTATTATTACTATTATTACCAACACTACTACTACTACCACCACTAGCATTGCTAGCGTTGCTACTTCTATTAGCATTTATATAATTACTAAGGCTGAAAGCGAAACTACCGTTGTTACTACTACTACTATTACTAATATTGCGGTTATTATTATTATTATTGTTGTTGTTGTTGTTATTGTTGTTGTTGTCGTTATTGTTGCGTCTGTACCTTCCAATGAATCCGTCACCTTCTGGAAAGTACTGGAAGTGCATATCGTCCAAGAAGGCGGACTCGCTGAGTAGGAAATCCCGATTTGTTAGAGGACCCGATGGTCGGTGGCCGCGATTAAAGATGCTACTGCTGCTAGGAGCGCCGACGACAGGATCGTCGTCGTCGTCATCATCGCCACCACCATCCTCATCATCAGCCATGTTGTTGTTGTTGCTATTGCTGTTGAAACGGTTGCTGTTGTTGTTGATGATGTTGTTGTTAATGTTGTTGTTGTTGTCGTCGTCGTCGTCGTTGATGTTGTAGTCGGCGATGTTATCGTTGTTGTTGAGGTTGTGGTTGAATGGTCTGAAGCGTGACAGGCGGTAAGTGAACCGGCGGTAACTGTGGTCATGCTCTGGACCTGCTGTCAGGAATGATGAGGATGACGATGATGATATGAGGATGGCCGAGACGATGAAAGAGAATTGATGATGACGGTGATTGAGGTGATGGTGGAGACGATTGAGGCAGTGCTAATTAGGATTATGATGATGATTAAGATTAAGATTAAGATGGTGATGATGAATATTATTAAGATCAAGATGGTGATGATGATTATGATTAAGATCAAGATGGTGATGATGATTACGATCAAGATGGTGGTGATGACGATGATCAAGATGAAGATGATGGTGATGATGAAGATAAAGTTGATCAAGGCGATTAACACAGTAAATGAGAGGAAAATTTTGAAGATGATGACAAAGAAACCAAATATTAAACAAATTGAACCAATGAATAAATGAATAAGCAAATGAAAAGGTGAACGAATGAATGAATGGATGAATGAATGAATGAATGAATGAATGGATGAATGAATGAATGGATGAATGGATGAATGAATGGATGAATGAATGAATGAATGAATGAATGAATGAATGAATGAATGAATGAATGAATGATCAAACGAATGAATAAAAAACTCATTATTTTGATAAGCTCATACCTCTATTCATTGGCGGATCATACAAGGGCATTCTTGAAGTTCTATTTCATTGATGGCAATTATGACGTCATCACCATAATCACACACTCATTAGCATCATCATTAGCATCATCATTACCACCACAATAGTCATCCCCCCTCACGGCACTATTATCATCGCCATTCATATCATCATCAAAACGAACATCACTGACGTCATTATTATAAATATCATCATCAACATCATCCTAAAAACCATCATCATCGTCATCGACTCACCTCTTGCTGGCTGTCAATCCATTGGAGACCCCAGTGTACAACCAATTGCCAGTTGGATGAAATCGCAGCCATCTGATTGGTTGGTTGATTGATTAAAGGTATCGGTATATCGGTTGATTGACTGATTAGTTAATTGATTGACTTGACTATTTAATTGACTGGTCTAATAAATGAACGATTAACTGAACTATTGGTTTGACACTTAGCAGGATAAACATCAACAAAAAACAACAATCCCAGCAAGCAAGTTCGGCCAATGAACATCATTCAATTCCCAATAACAACCAATCAGTAGCAGCCCATTTTCAGTAACAACCAATCAGAACAAACCGGCCAGCAGGTCCCACCAATAACAGAACGCCAAAAAACACTAACCTAACTTTCTCATTCCTCGAAGTCACGCAAAGGAGATACGGCTTATCCTTACACCAGCTCCAGGCGTAAATTTTATCGTGCACTGCAATTAGCAGCAACTGCTCAGCCGGATGAAAACATAGCGAGCATATCGATCGTATGTCCGGGTACATCCAACTCTCACTGCACCCACTCTGGTTAGTGTGATTAGTGAAAATGGAGAGTAGATATCATAACAAGCAGATATTATAACCTCAGTGATAAATGTCATACAAACATTGGTATGTCTCAGGTTCATCAACAGCAGACACACAGTGTATGTAGACTTGCGGATTTTGTCAGTGCGGTTGGCCACAGATGCGGATTCGATAGCGTTATTTAATAAACGAAACGGCCCAGCAGAATTAAACTTTTAATTTTCAAAAATTTTCAGATTAACAAATTGTGTTCTTTCGTATGTTTGCATGTGTGTACGTGTGTGTGTGAGTATGTATGCGTATTTAATGGCCAATAGCTGAGTCTTTCTGGGGTTCAGTGTTGATAAAGCCAGGCGAGCAGCTTCTACTAATTACTCCAGCAGATTTGAATAAAGAAAGTTAATTGAATATTTTATGATTGAATGTTGTTCATAAAAACACACACACACACACACACACACATATACATACATGTATATGTAAATGTGTGTGAATATGTGTGTTATACAAAAGGTACGTGTAAAGTGTATCTATCTTTGATACTTAACAACTTAACACAAGTATTATTATCATCTTATATACACATAAACATATACAATACACACATATGTATATACAAATTAACCTACATATAATAATACAGTACATACACACACACATATATATATATGTATTGGTACGACCTACATATATATATATATATATATATATATATATATATATATATATATATATATATATATATCAAATCAAATCACTTTTATTCAATCAAACAAAACAAAAGCATGAATGATTCGGAGACCAAAAAAAGAAAATTAATTCTTGTGGGCTCGGCCACCGTGCAGCTCAAAATTGCTTCTCAATGATAAAATAAAATTGTCAATAGGAGAAAATGTATCAATGTTAATGAAATATGTACACACTTATATATATATATATATATACATATACATTATTATCCTTGAAAAACAGAACTTTTCGTAATTAAAAAATTTTTCAGTTTATTTTTAAAAAGATGCAAAGTGTTACAATCTTTAATTTCTTGTGGAATCGTCTCCCATATTCCTGGGCCGGTATGTATCAAACTCATGCAGAGTACTTTAATTCTGGCTGGTGGAGCATAAAAAAGTGGCGTGTGGCGTGTAGTTCTTGCTTGAATGGAAGTTCCAAAAGTGAAAAAGTTTCTAAAAAATGCCGGCAATTGCTGACGTAGAAATCTAAAAATGAATGTTGCAACGTGGTAGATGAACAAGTTTTTGATGTTGAGTATTTTCATCTCGAGATAATATTCACTTGTGTGACAATGAGGATGAAGATTTTTAAATATTCTGATGAATCGGTTTTGGCATTTTGTTAACTGTTTTAGATGAATGTCAAGACTGTTTCCCCAAATTACGTTGCAGTAGATGAGGTGAGGAAAGATTAACGAATAATAC